TTGAGACATAGACTAGAACAGATTATAGGCACAGACTATATCATAGACATTGGCCCAGGGTTTTAAGTTAAACATGAATTTAAATAAAGTCAGAGCGAACTGGAGCGGAGCCAAATCCTTACTTCGGCCTTTGAATTTAAAACCGTTCTGCGCTCTACCAGATTTCTTCCACTCCGCTCCACTGCTCGCTCCAAGCTCCGCTCTGCTCACATGATATGTATATATTGGCAAGTGTTTTTTTTTTTTAAGTGTTAGGGTGATCTCTTCCCAGGAAAGGATCGGAAAGCTTGAAAGTGTAAATGCATAGCTTTCCTTTACACCTGTTGAATTTTTCTTTAATGGGTTGCATTTTACAGCTGGTTGGGTTGATGTCAGGAGCAGCTGCTGTAGGCTACCTTTCCAAGAAGCTCATGGAGGCCGAGGATCTGGGCAGCAAAGACCCCTGTCCCTATGAAGATACTTGGAACAAGACCAAGGAATCCTCTTAGGTTTTTCGGGGCTATCTCTCCGAGGTACATGGGTACCACACTGAGGGAGATCCCTATAGAGACAAGCAGAGAAAAGAACACATTACAAACAAATATATAGGCTGGTCTAACAAAAAACACTAAGACTGAAAGCATAACTCAGATTACAGATACTGGAATGATTCCTTTGCCTCCTATGGTTAGGATTAGGCATGCTCTGCTAACAGTTAGGTTCAGGTTAGAATTAATATAGAGTGTGTAGTAGTAGATTCATGGTACTGGTAATGGTAGGTTCTAGTATCAAATGATTGAGGGCTTCTAGATTGTTTGATTGGCTTCTTATAAAAGGGTGTGGCCCTCAGAAGAAGGTAGTGAGCAGTGGTTAGCGCTTTCTGTTCGCCCAACCCATGTCATTTTCTGTTTAAGTTTTCTCTTTGAGTTTTCCGTTGTACTTTGATTCATGTCTTTCTGTTTTTTTTAGTTTATTGGTTTTATTTCCATTTTGTGTTATTCAAGCAATTTTTGATTGTATTTGAGTTCTTAGGTATTTCTCGTTTCCCCTCTTGTGTCAGTTTCCTTTTCCCTAGGTCCGTTCTAGACTCCTCTGTCCACACCTGCTCCCAATCTGTTGATTAGCCTGGTCTTTGCTCAGTCTCCCATTTATACACCTCATGTTCAGTCACTGTTTGCTGGTTCCTTGTTGTTGTTAGTTTCTTCCTCATCTCTTGTTCCCCACTTGCGTTTTCCATGATGTTTTCTTTTTTTTGGGGGGGTTCTTTGTATTTTGTATTTTTGGATGTCTGCCTCAGTTTTTAATTAAACCAACAAGAACTCATCTCTGCTTCACTCATCTCTGCATTTGGGTCCTCAAGCAACCTCACCCCCTAGTTGACACCCCAAGAGATCTATGAACTCAGGTGGGTTGAAGAGCTGTTG